AGAGAGGAGAGGGTGAGAGAGTAGGGTGAGAAAATGAATTAGGGTTTCAAATCCTATATAATTTATTTTTTATAATATTTTTATTAATATTTAATTAAATATAAAAAACTTGTATCTATTTTAAAAAGTTCTGACTTTTGAAAAAAAAAGGATAAAATCTGATTTTAGAAATTGGATCTCCAAAGGTAGGGATATGTGTAATTTCCACTATATTTTATTCAAACATAATCTTTTTAATCTTTTTTATTTGTTTGGTAATTACGTTGAATGTACATTATTAAACAATATATCACGGGTGCTAAGCACGTGACAACTAAATGACACAAAATGATAGATTTATTTAAATACAATGTCACACGATACATTTCATTAGATTTTGTTAAATTCGTGAGTAAAATGCTGATTTAATGTAATTTTTACGAGGGATAAGAATTTTATATTATTAAAGTCGAACAATGCTAATAGTTCATCGGAAAAATGTGATAGGTGATATCAATTAAGTTAATCGCCTAAATTCATGCTTTTAAGATAAGATAAGAGATAACATTAGTCATAACATTATTAAAGTTCAACTCGACATGCTACTCTAAATGTAAGTGAATAAGTGTGTGTGTGGGAGTTGGGCAATTGAAAACAGAATGTCCTTTTTACTTTTTTTTTTATTGGAGAGAGTGGGCCCACAAAATACAAATTGACAAAATGGAATTCTCTGCAAAAATCAAATTACGTATAAGAATATGTCTCCTTATATTCCAACATACAACATACTACTTTGTTCTTGTGCTCCCATGCCTCCTAACGGTGCTTTCACTTTCAATTTATCATGCGTGAGTGGGACCCTACCTATCTTCATTTTTTTTATCCCCCATTTTCTTCTCTAAATTTTTTGCCTAATGAATTCTTATTATGATTTTAATGATAGCTATAATCTCTATCATTAGATTGTTCCTCAAAGTCCGTACACTTAACTCACCTATTACTCACCCATGAGTGTATGTCTGAAAAATAAACTAGGTCCACCTAGGATTTGCAATGGGTAGAATCCAGCTGACTCGAGCCTTAAACACCTAAATTCGATTGTAAGAACGAGTCGAGCTACTTTTTATAAAACAAAGCAAATACGAGTAATAAACGAGCCGATCCACGAGGTCAAGATGAATCCAAAACGAAAATAAAAATAGTGTGCTCTAAATTTTGCTTAACGTCCACTCATAAATTATAAGCTAAGAGAACAACAAAAATAAAATAGCTCCATTTAATAGTAATAAAATAATATATTGTCAACTTATTAATAAAGTGAAATGCAAAAGCACCTTTATTATTTGGCATGGTCAATGTCGGTCGAAACATGCTGCATTATTTCCATTGCTTGGTTTGTTTTACCATCCTTCATCATCATACCCTAATTAATAATTACTAGATTTTTGGGTATGTAGGGTTGTTTAATTTTTTTCAACCATGATAATTATTGATATTGACCAACTCTTGATAATAAATAATGGTGGCCTAGAATTCACTCATATGACTCTCCAAAAATAGATCCACTTATCATATATCATAAATGTGTAAAATGTAAGATAGCGTCTAATTTATTACTCTTTAAAAATTACGTATGACAAATCGTAACATAATCAGTATATATACATGGGATAGGAGTGAAATGAGTGTATACGTGTACGCAACTTATAAGAGGAAATACGACACGTGACTATCGATGGATGACTCTGGCTTGAAATTTTTATATTTAGTTTTTGGGGAGTCGTGGCAAGTGATGGATTAATGTTTTGGAAATATTGACTTGATAATAAAGTGTAAGTTGTTCATAGGGGAGATGGTGATTAGAAAGTTGAGTCGTGTGTTGAATTCAAGTAAACATCGAGTGTTTGATCGATTGAAGTAAAAATGTCTAATTTTAATTATTCAATCATATCCAGACGTCACGGTTCAATATCCATCCAAAATAATTCACTGGGCATTTATGAACACACGACTCGTTATCTTATATATCTCAACATCTCATTATAAATCTCTTTTGTAAAAAAAAAAAAAAAAAAAACTTAGCACACATTAACCATTGAAATGATATTAGAAACGTGTAATATATTAGAAATATTATACCCTTATTTGGTAGAAATTAAAATTTAGATTTTAATCTAAGTTAAACACCACGGTTCGAACAATAGTTGTGCCCATGTTGTTGTGCTCATAAATATGATATGAGCCAGTGCATGATCGACACGTGGAGATCATAAAATAGTTTTTGAAAATAGAAGCGTTGCCGAATTGACGGATTACGCCGAGTTTTTATTCCCAACGCCATTGATAAACGTGCTAACGTGACTAGTCATGCGTGCAGATCTTATAACACTGTCCAATCTTAACCGTTGGATCATATCGTGCATCAAAATTAATAATCTCCTCACATGATTGGTCATCATACAATAATTAATTAATAATTTAATTAATTCATATTCCAAGGCAAATGAGCAATTACGAAGTTTGATCCCTCAATGCAATTTACGAAAGAGTAATGTTATTATCCCCTGAGGATGGAAACAAGGTCTATGTGGCTTTAAATAATATGTTAAAATAAAGTTAAGGTTTTTCATCTTATTCGACGCAAATTTGACTGTCAACAGCACAAGTTAAGGTTTTTCATTTTACAGTTCCACATTCGCCCTTTGAATATTCAAGCCGGGTGCTATGCTCTGAAATTGAAGAAATGCACAAATTGCACAAACACAAAGGTAAGAAAAAGAAAATGCCATAAATATCGGACATTATTACAAAGTGTCATACATGATGACATACTTGACGTAATATAAAAATGCATTTTGGGAGCAAAAATGGCTCCCAAACAAGAGCTAAATACACAATTTTTCCAACTAAAAAAAATAGATGAGTGAATCAGTTAAAACGAAATGGAAATTAGGTGGCTAACATGGAATAAAACTACAGATTTGGTGACCTCTAGTGTAAAAATTATAATTTAAGATTGTGTGTTAGGGACAAAATTGTAAAGAATCTGGCAGGTCTTGCAATTGCTACTGGAGTGTTATCAGAATTCTGATGAACGAGGAATGTTACTTCTCTAACCATAGGTCACATTAATGTCTCGTCTCGTCTCTCTCTCACTTTTCTATTTGTCTTTTTTTTTCATTTTCTTTAGTTTCCAGAAATATAATGGGACAAAAATTTGTCTCTTCTGTTTTATAAAGCATATTTGAGCAACAATAATTTGTCAAAAATATATGTTGTGGATATTTTGCTACAAACTCGAGAAAACGCATAGGTTAGTTATAAGATAAACTTCGGAGTATGTGTCGATGTGCAACATGAATCACCAAACGTATCGAAGGCATGGGATGAGAATATTTATGGGGCTCACTCACATGATTTATTGAAAGAACTTTAAATGAAGTAATTCAATAGAGTTGACTAATTATTTAGAAGGGCCATATCCGTGCATTTGCATAAATGCTGTATTAATAAACTCAAAAGGAAAAGAAATTTCAATGAAAGAAACATTAGTCGTGTTTATTAATGTAAGAATAGTGATTTTCTTCATTTAATGAATGCGTGTGGTGAATAGGAGTGGAGCTATACTTGGGCAAGGGTGGTCCACTTGGACCTCCCAAATATATTTTTTTTTTAATTTTTAAAAAGTCAAAAGATTATTTTTTCTATTCTATCATGTACTTCCTAACATCTTATTGTTTCAACCGTTGTTTGTGGTTGGGAATTCGGGTTTGCATGCTTCAATTCTCGTAATAAAATATTAGATGCTTATTGCTATGAGTCTCTGTTATTTTTCTTGAATAAATATAGGGAACATAGAAAAAAAAAAGATTTTGTGAATGTGTTTATCAAGATAACTCAATTTCAGCATCAATTGCCAACGATTTGTAGAGCGACAAACACACTCCTATTAACCTTGAAAAGTTGAAAGTTGCCATCGCCGGAATATCTCAAAGTAGGACATGATTTTTATTAAACTAGTAAGACGCACGTGCAATACACGTGTCGTAGTATAATTGTCTATATGATAGTTTAAATATTAAAAAAAATTATTTGTTTTAAGCTTTAGTTACATAAAATTTGAGATTATGTTGCTAAATGTTTCGAGCCAACTACATTGGAAAAATGGTGTATTCGGAACCATGAATTATGTTCTAGTTAAAGAACTTCCTCAAGTAAATTGTTTGAATAGACAAAAACTATTAACTTATATTCAACTCAAGTTTTCTAGAGTGATCAATCAGACATGAATTAATCAGATAAACCTGAAGTGAAAAATGCTCATATTATCTAAAAAATTACCGTCTTCTCAACCAAAAATGAAAGAACTATCTAGTGTACGTGTTTGATTATTTTAGGCATGTAAGAAAAGATAAAATCTATTAGTAACAGCATTATGGATGAACTATACGAGTAGTTTTAAATTCTTAAGACATTGACAAAAAACACTCGCACCAAGTCAAGAAAAACAGTGGAGGTCTGTATACATTGTTTCTATCCAATTCATCAATCTATCCTCTCGTGTAATTTGAGGATTTTAAATTAAATTCTTGATGATGAAAGGTTGGCTACCAGTGGTCTTTNAGTTCGAAAAAATGACATTGGAATGCGGTTGAGATTGAAAAGAAATATAAACAATGACGACTTTACATTTCACAATTAATGTAAAATTATTTTTGACATTTAAAATTTATCGATCATATATTTATTATTACCGCACTTCAGCATTTTCAACAAATTTTAAATCGTTTAAAACGAATATTTGTGACTTAAAATACCGAATCAAACGTTAAAAAAAGGGCTTAGACAGCTTAGCCGATGGCTCGGCTCGGCTTATGAACAGTAACCACCAAGTGACTCTTTTATTTATATAGGATGAAATTTGTTGACTCTATTAAAGCTAAACCTCTTACGTAAAGTTCCATCAATTCAAAAATACAGAAATAAATATTAAAATAATTCTATGTTCTAAAACTTCCTCGGTGCGTTTTTAATCTTTCTGCATTTGATTCATTTATCTAACTGTTTGTTCGGATAAAGTTTAGGGCTCAAGAGTGACCATTAAGGGAATTTGGAATTCAATTTTCATCTTTGGTCCATTCAATCCCCAAGTACACTTGAAATGTCTTAGTTAGCAGTTTTTTGAAAAGATTTAATAATAGAATAAAGCCGTATCTTATCTATTGAGAAAAAATATTTCGCAAAATTGATAATGATATAATTATTCGACGTTTTCAAAATATGAAAAATGTTGGGAACAATTATAGTTATTTTATTTATAATTATTTTTGTCCATCCAAAAAAAAAATCCTAACTCCACCCCTGGTGGTTGATGGGTTGCCGAAAAAAGTTATAAAAGGAGAAGCACGCGTCCTGTCTCCGTCGTATTTTTACAAATACCATGACTACATAGTACATATTAAAACAAGGATAACACATAAATTCAATTACTTAGGGCGAGTATGGTTTTATGTTTTCAAACTATTTTCAATTTTACAAAATAATGAAAATGTGCTTGATCTAGTATTTTCAGAAAATATATTTTTGAAAACAACGATAAACTTATAATATAAAACTCAAGATGTCTTTTTGAAGTTTTGAGTGTTTTTGGTAAAAAATTTGAAAACATTCAAAACATGTAAAACAAGTGTTTAAATAAAATTTTAAAAATTGTAATTTTAAAAAATATAAATAGAAATTCTAACAATAAAAATTTCTGAAAATTATAAAAAATAATAAATAGTAAATAAAAAAAATTCAAGTTCTTAATAATTATTTACACAAAAATTTCAAAAAAATATTTAAGTGAGCATAGACAAGAATATTCTCGGTCCA